GCGGGGCGGCGCGGGGCTGGTGGCGACCACGTGCGCGCCCGGGCGCGTCCACTGCCTTCTTGCGGGGTGCCGGGGCCTGGGAGGAGGGACCTGCCGGTCACTCCGGGAGGCTGGGGGGGAGAGGGACCCGCCGGCTACTCGGAGGAGAAGGAGGGACCCGCGACCTCCCTTGTGGGACCCGGAGCCATAGGGAGGTGGTGTCCCTCGCCCTGGATGTGGGACTTGCCTGGTGGCCCCAGGTCACACAGAGGGGTAGGGATGAGAGGACCCCCCAGAGACAGAGTGGGGAGCAGAGTGGGGATCGCCCGGAAACCCCTCTGCTTGGGTCAGTTGCTCCTGGGGCAGTTGGCATCTCCTAGTCTGAGAGGACCTGAGGCGCTGTGAGCAGGTTGCTGTCCTCTTAAGTCAAGTGGTCAGTGCCCTGGGGGACACTGGAGGCCTGGAGCAGTAGGATGACGTTCCCCCTCAGGACACGCTGTGGTGGGAAAGGTGCCACTTTGAAGCCAGGCAGCTGGGAAAGCAAGAATCTCCTGGGGGTGCAGGGGTGAGTCAGCAGTCCCTGAAGCAGGACCGCGATCCCCACCATGGAGGGACCCCAGGACACAACAGACCCTCCTGTCTCCCCGCTGTCCCTTAGCAGTGGGTTTCAGGGCGATCCCCACTCTGCTCCCCACTCTGTCTCTGGGGAGTCCTCTCACCCCTACCCCTCTGTCTTGCATCCAGTTCTTGTGTGCATCCATAAATAAGTCTAAGAAATAAAGAATCTTGAAGCTCCAGCCAGGCTCTTAAAGCCCTGGCGACCAAGGTGGGGCAGGTGGAGCTCTGGGAACTGTGCCACCTTGAAGCCCCACATGTGGGATGAGGTGGCCCTTGTCCTAAAGCCGTGGGTGCCAAAGGCCAAGACCTACGTTTTGCCCCTTTAAGGTTCCCTGTGTCTCGCTTCTGCCCTTTTTCTGCTTTTTTCTGCTCTTCTCTGGGCCCGAGCGTCAGTCTTGCCTCCCAGCAGCCTGGAAGGGCTGCAAGGCGGCCACCAGCCCCCTCCTCAAATAGCAGGTTCTCTCGCTTGTACTTCAGTTGTGTGTCTAAAGTTCAGTTGTGTGTCTGCCCCCGTCTCATTTGGACTCCTAGGGCCTAATCCCACTGTTGGGGAGCCTTGCAGGACTGGGCACTCACTCAGGACACACGTCACAATTTGCATTTTAAATTGCTCTGAGGCCCTTTTTCTTTTTCTTCTTAAGATTCCAGTTCTGCAGACCAACTCCGGTCCCAGTCTAACCGGCTTAGCCACCATAGCGGCTCATCTGGTCAAGCAGGCCAAAAAGGAACACTTGCTGGGGAGCACGGCAGAGGAGAAGGCCATGGTCCAGCAGTGGCTGGAGTACAGGGTGACACGTGTGGATGGCCATCCCAGCCGAGAGGACACACACGCTCTGCTGAAGGTACGGGGCTGCCCGCTCCCTGTAGGGCGCTGTCCAGCATCTGCCTGGGCTCCGCAGCTAAAGTGCTGGCCTCCCTTCGGAATCCCCCTGCACTGGCAGTTCAGCCGCTGGTTGCCTCAGACCACAGCAGGCTGCCCCTGCCAGTCCGTGGGGCTCACCCTGGACACCCCTCCTGGGTGCTCCTCTCCTAGCTGTAGCTGGAGGTAGTTCCTGGCCTCTGGGCTTGTCCACCCAGCTCTCTGCGAGTGGATGGCAGGCAGTTACTGCCTCTTTGCGCCGTTACTGCCTCTGGCTTGAGCAATCATGCACTCCTTAAAGGCGGGGGCTGAGTTGAGGGGGTGTCGTCAGGAAGACACCCCCCACCTCGGGCTTACTGCTCTCTGAGATGTTTTTCCCCCATATCAGTCAAATGAGAACAACAGTCTTTTAATACAAAATGTAGCACCAAGAATCAGTGGAAGCCATCCAAAAGAAGTTATTTGTGCTTATTTTTTTTTTTTTTTAAAGATTTATTTATTTGTACATACAGAACTGGGGTACAGACCAGAGACTCAGGGGCAGTGAGAGACTTCACCAGAGACAGAGTGGGGAGCAGAACAGGCAGATCAACGAAGTACACTGCTGAGGGGAGCAGTGGGCAGGTCAGGAGAGGTCTGCCACGCCATGTGGTCTCCTCCGGGGCAGGCGGGAATCGAACTCATGCGGAAGTGGCTTTAGCTTCTCAGTGCAGTGCTTTAACCCGCTGCGCCACCAGGGAGGGCCATTTGTGCTTATTTTAATCAAAGTAAAAAGCTTTTTTTTTTATAAAGACTTAAACCTGCACAGGCCTTAGGGCCTCAGCGTCACCTGGACACTGGATCGCCTGGACACCATGGTGCCCTCATCTGGCTTTCCAGCAGGAGTCACGTGCCTGGAATGTGGCTCGTGTGGCCCCCATTACTCTGTTGGCAGAGTCCAGGGGCTTGTTTCCACTTTTGGGTGATGCTTTTTTCCTCTTTACGCACTACGGATTAGTGACACCATCCATGTTCTCCTTTGGGCTGGCATCACTTAGCACCGCCCCGAGCTCTGGCCACACCCTGGCAGTGGGCAAGGTCTCCACTGGGTGGCGAGGCCTCGTCCCTTCCTCCCACTCACCTGTCAGCTCCTGGGCTTTTTACTGCAGCCCAGCTTCTGGTGGGACTGTCATGTGGCTGTCAGCATGTCAGCATGGGGACTCCTTAGCCACAGCAGAGTTGCCACATGATCAGCTGTTCTGGGAACACCCCAAAAGCATTCAGACTGGGTCCCCAGGCCCGGTGTTCATATGCTGTGTTATAGTAATGTTGCTCAGAATGGCTGCAAGGCAGATGCCACCCTGGCACCAGTGGATAAACAAAACAGCCTGTCGTTGTAGCGGAATGTTATGCAGCCCTAAAAAGGAAGGTCCCTGAGTCACATAGTTGACACCAATGGACCTTGAGGACGTGGCACCAAAAACCAGTCACAAAGGGACAGATACTGTCAGACTCCATTTACTTCAGTAGCAGGAGGTTCTTGGAGCAAATTCATGGAGGTCGATGTGGGAAGGTAGGCTCTGGGGGCCGGGGAGGCTTGTGTGGCCTTTTAGGCTGTAAAATGAGGGTTAGTTGCTCAAAGTGTCCAGATGCACCACTTCCTTAGTTATGGCAGTGTGCCTAAGGCAGTGAATGTGGCCACTTAGGTTCTCTGACATTTAAAACACCACATACAGGGAATTTATAATTCTCCCAGGAGACAGAGATTGTCGGCCTCTTCGTATTTTAATAGAAAAATAGATCCAACGCGAGTATGATTTACAAAGTGCCCCCCGCACAGTGAACAGGAGGCTCTGGTCTGCTCACAGATGCTTGTGGAGCATACTCAGTTCCTGCCAGCTGAACGCGCTAGGGACATCTGCGCCAGCTGTTAAGCTCTCGCCCTCTGCACAGTCCTTGGGATCCCGTTCAGTGGCCGGCATTCATACCTGAGCACCCGAGCTAGCTTTGTTGCCATGGGTTTTTAAATGATTTGTCTTTTCCAGGATCTCAATTCTTACCTGGAAGACAAAGTCTACCTGGCGGGACATAACTTCACTGTGGCGGACATTCTCCTGTACTACGGGCTCCATCGTGTCATGGTGAGGAGGGATCACTGCTGGGGGTGTTCTCAAAGCCCAGTGACTTTACCGTGTGTCATGAACTTAAAATGTGTCAAGTACAAGTGAAGGTGCCACATTTCCTCGAGGCTGCTGGTGCAGATTGCCCTCTGGTTGCCTCCAGTAGCACCCAGCTGTGGGGTGTCCTATTTCTCCCCACGCTCTTGGGGCTCCCCTGCAGCTCCAGGGTTCCAGATGCTGTCCTGTCTCTTCACCCCTTCCTTCCCACCCAGACCAATATCGCTGACACCCTCACAGCACTCAAGAAAATGTGATGCAGCGGGTGCCCCCATCCTGGTGCCCGGCCCTCGCTAGCAGACCCCTGCACACCTAGCCTGAGGTCCCTCCTCCTCGGCCTGGCTCACCCTGTCCCTGCAGCTGGCTTGGGGTACAGCCTGGTGAGGCACCTGAACTTCCAGAACTTGCTGGAGCTGCTCACAGGCCTGGAGCTGACTTCCAGGGTCATGTGCATGTTTATTTTGGAAAAATGACCCCATTTCCTCTGGGGTCGTGGCAGTATTTACAGGTGGCGGGGCTTTTTAAAACCTCATGTTTTCTTTTGAAGTTGGGGGCCTCGTCTGCATATGGCTGAGGCTGGGATCAGCCCAGGTGCAAGTCACCTGCGCAGAGACTACAGCGCTGCTGGTAACTCACCTAAAGCTGTGCTCTCTCAGTGAGAGGGAGCTATTGCAGAGCAGGGGCATGCTGGCCGGTTTCCCGCTTAACCATTTGCCAGCACGCGTGGACGCCTCGAGTGGTAGGTGAGGCAGCCGCATGGCTTGGACATGGGGGTGCCGTGTCACTGCAGACCCCAGCCAGGCAGCTGTGTCTGCGGCTCTCTGCAGCAGGGCAGGCCCGAGTAGATGCGCTGCCTACTCCAGGGCCCCTGGCCGCGCCCACCCAGGCCTGGTGACTCTCGGAAGCCCTGAGGGAGCAGGTGCTTCAGCCTGTCTTTGCCACGGTGTGTCTGCGTGCTGAGTGTGCCTGTCCCCACAGGTCGCCCTCTCGGTGCAGGAGAAGGAGCAGTTCCTGAATGTGTCACGCTGGTTCTGTCACGTCCAGCACCTCCCCGGCATCCGGCAGCACCTGGCCCGTGTGGTCTTCGTCAAGACCCGGCTGTATGCCCAGCCCCACTAGGCCAGAACCCCAGCCTGCGGCCCCTGGCCAGTGACCCCGGCCCGCGCCGCCCCCCCGGCCAGTGCCCCTGGCCAGCACTCCCGGCCAGCGTTCCCGGCCCGCTGCCGACTCCAGAGGGGCTTGTATCTGGACGTTGTATTTGTTCTTTAGTAGAAATTCCGCCAATTTCCACCGCCCTGAAAAGCTGGGTGGAACTCAGGTTCCAAATGAGCCTCCCCTGCAGGTGCGATGTGACTTCAGAGTGGTCAGTCTGTGGCGGGCTCTTTCTGCCACCAGGACACGGGCTCCCTGCAGCCTCCTGGGACCTTAGTCCATGGGAGTTGCCAGCAGTTTGTGGAGAACTGTCCTCAGTTCTACCAGGACAGGCAGGCGGGTGTGTTCAGGTTGTACTTGAGCCAGTAAACGTGATCGAGAAAGTCCTCGGTGCCTCTTCTCTCCCCAGCAGTGACACAGCACAGCAGAGCTGGCTGGCCAGACCACCCTGGGAGGACCGTGTCCACCCACAGGAGCTCACAGCCTGCAGACAGGACCCTGTGGGCACCCCAGAATGGGTGCTTTCATGTTGGGCAGCTGACCTGGCATGTGGGGCGGGCCGGGTGGTGCTGTCATGGCCCTCTGGGATGCCGCATGTCTCTTGTGGGTGTCACTGTGCCCAAAGCCCCCCCAGGGGGCCCAGGGCCCTGGGTGGCAAGGCGTCCAGAACTCGCAGGCTATACCGCCGATCAGCTACCCACTGCACTTACTCCTCCCCGAGACCCGGCTGGCTGGTTGCCAGACCTGTGGGTGTTTTTAGCTCTAGCCCCACAGCCCCCTCCTTTCCCACTCTGGCCTTCATCGTCCTTCCAGGTTGTTTTTTAAAAACCAGTTAGACGCTAGGAGGAAACACACACATTCCAGCAGGAGTCTTCCAGCATGGATGCAACCAAGAAAGCAAAGTGACCAGGCCCCTCCTGGGTGCTGCTCTCCCACGACAGGACTGTGGAAGGGTGGATTTCAGTTCTGTTCTCAACATGTGTGCAATTTAGTCCTTGTTTTTATTTGCTAATTTTCATAAAGTTCCATAGGGAGCTACCAATTTACCCTGAAGTCACTTTACTTCTACTAAATAAACATCATTTCCATGATGCAGAAAATAATTAGAAAAATTCACATTGATAATGGAAGTTTCCTGAAGGGTCAAAGGGGCAGAGGATGGGGGCAGGGGTTAAAAGTCAAAGAAAAAAGTAATTTTTAAAAAAAGAGAAATCTCTTTGGGCCTCCACTGGACACAGGGCTGAGTCTCCACCTGTGAGCTGTCCCAGCCACTGGGCAAGTCCATCCCCCCCAGGGAGGCACCCCAGGGCACAGCAAAGCAAATCCCCTGTCTCCCCGCAGCCCCCTCAGCTATAGGTTCCAGGGAACCTGCCTGTTCTGCTCCCCACTCTGTCTTTGGGGTATCCACCCACCTCTGGCCTGCACCCTAGCTCCTGTGTGCATAAAGAAAAAGAAGAAATCCTCCCACCATCCCAAGGCAAGGAAGTGCGCCGCCAGGCCCTGCGGAAGGTAGTGGGAGGCCCTTAGTGTGCAACTCCCCCTGGTGGTATTCTGGCTGGCCCAGGCTTGCAGGGTGCAAGCCCAATTTGGGTGCAGGTGAACCGGCCTGTCCAGCTTGCACAAACACAGGGGTCGCCAGAGGCTCCCAGTCCGCAGCAGTGAGAGCCCAGTCTGACCGCCAAGGTGCAGGGAGGTCGGTTCAACAGCGACGCCGTCCCTGCAGGCCCGTGACCCTCCCGCTGGGGCCGCACAGATGTCCCTGAAGTGTGCGGTGTGGCTGGCCGGCTGGACAGAGCGCTTGCCGCGAGGCGCAAGCCCTCGGCGACCTCCGCGCCCGTCCTCCCGGCGCCCTGCTCTCCGGCCGGCCGCCAGCTCCCTGGCCTGCAGGCCTCGGCTTACCGAAGTCAGCCGCGCACGGCTGTCTGGGCCGTTCACAACGCCAAGCTCAGTTCTGTATCGCACGGCATGGACGCGCCTGGCGGGGTGGCCATCACCCGGGCGCGGGGCGGATGGACGTCACCAGGGCGCGGGGTGGCCATCAACTGCTAGCGAGACTGACGTCACCAGTCAGCGCGACCGACGTCACCTGCATGCGGGACGGACGTCACCTGGACGCAAGTGTCTTCCGGGAAGAAGTGATAGTGTGCCCGAGCGAAGGAACGCTCCGCCACTCTAACAGCCCCGCAGCCTCACCCACAGGGCTCCCGCCAGCTCCGTGCGGACTTACATCCCTTCCCGCTTTCGCAGCCCCTGCCGGGACCCAGCCTAGCGGCAGCGCTTCCTCCCCTCCCGCACAGCCCACGGGGTAGACGCGCGCCGCGCCGTCCGATGACGTCAGGGGCGCGCCGGGGCAGGCGCGGCGTCCACCAGAGTGGGCGGAGCGGGCGGCATGAGCGGCGGCACCTCGGCTGTCCCCGCAACAGGGGAGGCCGCCCCGAGCGGCGGCGGCGCCCGGAAGCGGGACTCGCTGGGAACGGCGGGCTCGGCGGTGCAGCTCATCATCAGGGGTACGAGGCCCCCGCCTCCGCGCTCGTAACCCGGTCCCGGCCCGCTCGCCGGGTCCCAGGACTTGGGCCCTGCGGCGAATGGGGGTGGGGGTGGGGATGGCGCCCCAGCTCCGCCCGGAGTCAGGGTGCTGCCAGCGCCGCAGCCGCTGGAATCCCCGAGTCTCCCTTGCCCACCTGACGACCCCCTTAGGGTGCGGGAGGGGCGCCCCCACCGGCAGTGCTGGGGCGGCCAAGGTGGGGGCACCCCAGGGGCTGTTCCGCACTTGGGCTGCGGCAGTGGGCTGTGGCCAGCGGGCCTGACCCCAGCAGGACTGACCATGAGCACCCAGCCGACCGACGCCTTGACGGGGGCCCTGCGCCTGGCTTTGCCAAGCTCTGAAAAATCGCGCGTCCTGGCCGCTGTCTTCGGCGCCTGTCACCTGCCCAGAGTACTGCTCTGCCATCCAGGACCTCGCTAGGTCCAGTCCTCACACCCTCGTTCACTTTGTCTCTGCGTCTGACCCATTGTTCCTCATACAGTGGAGACAGGGTGCGTGCCAGTCAGGGCACTGTGGGGGGGGGGGGGCGCAGCCGGGCAGTGGCCAGGGTCAGCTGGTGTGCACAGCTCTGACACTGCTGCTGCGCCACCCACAGGCAGCTCCAACCCAGGCACTTGTCAGCCTGCGATGTGCCCCAGGCCATGGTCAGTGCCCGCCACCCTTGCCATGTCAGGTGACTGCGGGCCTTGGGCTCTTCATGCTCTCGCCATAGAGCGGCACCCAAGACCAGCCTGTGCCCAGTATAGCCCTGTCTGTGGGTGGACACGGGTTTGTGCCCACCGTGGGAGAGTGAGTGATCGTGCTGTGCAGCGACCCCGAGAGCTCCGGGGCCTGGTGGGTCAGTCTGGCCTCGCTGGCCACGGGGGCAGCTTCCTTCATGCTTCTTGTTCCAGACGATACCTTCTGCGTCCTGGCCGCCCCACACACTGGTCAGTCATAGTCTGGGCTGCCGTGGCTCTTGAGACCTGGGTGTTGAGGGCATCAGGTGCGCTTGACAGCAGTGTGACTCTTGGCTGCAGGACCAGGCCTGGGTCCTCAGGGCCGCAGTGCAGGCTGGGCAGCGATATAAGCAGTGATCTCCGCACGGGCACCCCAGCACCAGACTATATTCCCAGGGCCCCGCAGAGCCAGCTGCTGCCAGAGGAGCAGAGTGACCCCTCACTGCTGCCATGACCTAGCCAGCTTCGTAACCTAGAGCCCAAGGTCGTCTGTGGTCACTCGTCCCAGTACCCCTCTTCCCCAGGACTCAGTCGCTGCACTGGGCTTGTTGGGGTGCCACAGCACCGCTGGCCAGAGCTGACATCCCCGCATGTGTGAGGTGACATGGTAGCCTCGCCCCATGCTGCGCTGACGTGTGGCGCACAGGTGGGTGTCATGTGGCGGTTGACTGTCGGCACTGACTGGTACTGCACGCGGTCTCTCCCTCACTGGCCCGGCTGGGCCTGGTCACATGGGTCACAGCCCCTTGGTTAGGCAGCAGGGCAGCGTGTGCTATGGGCCATGGGGTGGGGTGGACCCCTCGAGACCCGGAGGCCATGGGCCACGTGGGCTCCTCGGGCACGGCCCCTGCACAATGGTGTGTGTGGATGGTGGAGCTGGACTTGACCCACCTCAGCCACTCCTGGATACCTGAGACAGTGTCTGGAAAGTGGAGAGTGGGGTCGTGCCTGGGGATAGCAGCGCCCAGCAGGGTAAGACTGACCCTTGCAGGGTTGGCCATGGCCATAGAAGGTCTGTGAGCTGCCTGGATATTTGGGACCCACATGCCTGTTCCCGCTCCAGAGCCTCTGGGGGCCACACTCTAGACATAAGGAAGTGAGGAGCTTGTTTTCTTGGTGACCCCTACCCCCCCTCACAGAGACTTTCTGGGGTGACCCCTGGCTTTGCCTCTAGCAGGCTCTGCCCAAGGCTGTACCCCGGGACAGGTCCTGGCCAAGGTCACTTAAACAGGATGACAGTTCCCCCTTGCTGGTCTACAAGGACCAGAAATTTGGGGGGCGAGGAGTGAGCACGGTCAGCGTCCCTTCCAGGACCTGAGCATGGGCTCTGCACACACTGGCTGCTGCCCAGTAGGACAACTGACCGGTTAGCGCCAGGCCGTCTCCTCTTGTGGCTTTGCTGGCCGTCCACGGCAGTGACAGAGATGCTGCCCTGTCCCCCATCCCCAACCTGTTTGAGGCAGAGTCTGTCCTCTCGTGCTTGCTCGGGTATCCATTCCTTGCAGCTCTGGGGGTCCCATCCCTGTGCAGAGGAGGCCACGTGGCACTTGTAGCCTGCAGCTTGCAGCCGAGCGGTGTGGTCAGGGCCACCCATGGGAGGTGGCGCTCGCTGCCCTCGCTGTCTGGGCCTGTGCAGAGATCCAGCCATGCCTCATGCCCCCACCCCCCACCCCAGACGCTCACCCTTGCTGTGCTGTACAGATACTACCTCAGCATCAGGGCTCTGCTGGTGGCAGACATCCCTTGCAGAGTCAGCTGTGGACAGTGTGTCCACAGGCAGTGTGACTGCCTTCAGAAGAGCACAGAGCTGACCTCGAAGTCCACTGTCTTTCAGATCTTGGGGAGGTCCATTCGAGGCTCTTAGACCATAGGCCGGTCATTCAAGGGGAAGCCCGTTACTTCGTGAAGGAATTTGAGGTGAGTCTTTAAGACTTGGATGTGGCAAGATGACTCTGCTTATGGGGTACTTGGGGGGGTGTTGAGGCCTGGTGAGAGGGAGGAGGGGTGGCAGGAAGAGGGTTGGAGAGGGAGAGTGTGGGAGGAAGAGGGATGGGGAGGGGGGGGTG